CAAATATTTAAATTTTTTTCGCTTATATTTATTTTCAAACAGAAATTTTAAAAATTTGGTAATGCACTTCTTGTTCTTTTGAGTAGAATTTTATAAAACAGAAATTCTAATAAAAAATAAGAATGAACTTTTGGAAGAAAATTTCATGAAATATTAAAGGAGAATATAAATGTCATTTAAACTGATATTAAACCGTTTCTATTTATTATACTTTAAAACTGAATCATACGTAACTGTTGCCTTTATAGGAAGAAAAAATTAAAATATTGCATGCAATAATTACACTTATGTGCATGTAAATGTAACTTTTAAAGTAAAACCTTTCTCTTTTTTCATCAAAGACATATGAAACTTTTTACATCTGAGACATTTTCATAGAGCATATACTGTGATATCATGGATTAGTAAATACCATAATTTGAAAGAAAAACTAAGTTAAGGTTGTAATTAGTTCCTAGAAATCGTCCCAAGGTACAACATTCTCCTCTTATAATTAGCGTCAACAATAAAATTACGTTTAATTTATTTTATACATTTATTAAATATCACAATTTCAATTTATGTCAGCAAAATTATTCACCGGTATAATAAAACTTAATGTCGGTAATATTTTACATGCTCTAAGAACGTACTGACATCCATGTAATAACTAACTTAATTGTCTGAAAATGAAATCAATACTTTCATTTCTAAGTTAAGGGAAATTTAGAAAAGATATTGAATTTTCAACAGTTCAAAATACAGTATAAACAGTTTTATTAGATAATTTAAACTAGATTATAAAATTGCTTTAAATAAAATGATTATTCATGCATAACTATTATTAAAACTACTCAGACATTAAACTATTAATCAATACAGCAGCATATTTATTATATTAATCGATGGTAAATATTTTGAAAAAAAGGTGAAGAAAACAGTATTTTGAATTGATTTTTGCGACAGCGTAAGACCACTCGCTTTTATTGCATTAATGATAAGCATCCTCCTTTGCTAAAAAGTAATGAAAGAAAGAATGAGGCCGATTTAAACAAGAGATTTCCAATCAAAGATTGAATTTTAAACAAAATTTGGCTCTTTGAGATAGTTAAAAAAATGATGAAATATATTGTTATAAACAAGAGCCTTCTTTAAAGTTGACAGGAAACACCCACAAGTCATAAGTTCTACAGAAAATCTCTGAATATCAACAAGCTAATACTTGTGTAAATGGATTGCAGAACGAAATAATAGCCTCATTTTCATCGCAGTTTCAAGCACGATGAAAGGGTGAAGAAATTGTCAAAAGTATAAAATCTTACTAGAATTCATGCCAAAACTTGTGATACTGGTTTAGAAGTAGTAAGGAGGGCATATTTAATAGTAATCAATAACAAAATGTAGTAATATTCCAAATAAACCGCTGTTTTCCAAAATACTTGGTTGACTTATTTTGGGACTGGCTAGTTATTCTTTGTCTAATATTTCCTAAATAACAATGAGCTTTTATAAAGTTGTTGCTATTATTTTTAAGTATACTAGCCTTTTTTGGCAACCAGTTTCGCCGCCACCTTTTAATAGCAATCTAGCTGAATGCACACACAACACAACTGCATTTAAATATTCTAATTCTTCAACCCTTCCTCAAATCATAAGCCTTGATATACAAACCAATTTTTTTTTTTACCGCTTAGCTGTCTCTTACGGCTTTGTCCAAGCTGAAGTACTTTGATTTCAATTTTAATTATTTCTTCAAAATTGTCAGAACTTTTTATGTATTGAATTTAAAATCCGTCCGTCAGCCATTAAATCCCTCAAACCACGTAAGTATGAGTTTAAAACATCTCAGAACAGCAGGCATAATTGTTAAAATTATTTCCATCTCTGTTGTGAGATAAGATGGAAAACTTATAAATATGTTCCATTACATGCTATACTACTTCCTCACGCACCTCTTGAGCCATAAGTAAAGTATCGTATAATATATGCTCGAAAAATGCAAGCTCCGTCACCAATAATTGATATGACAGCATACGACGCCATAGCAACGTTTATGTTTAATGTTGTTACTTTCATTTAAGAATTGATAAAAAAATAAATCCAAATATTTACTTTTCTTAATAGTTTTTATTTCCATTAAAATGCAAAACTATTATTAATAAATACTTAACGTGTAACTATACAACACTACCTAACCTATTACGTAAGACAACCTAATGAAAAAAATACTTTACGAATAACTAATTATTTAACCCAACTTAAATTTTTAATTAAGACAAACTAATAAAATGAACTATAGCGTTACAGATAGATAAAGATATAACCGTGTTTATGGTGCCATTTAAGAGAAATGTATAGATAGATTATGTATTGAATAGCAAGAAAAAAGTTAATCTTTTAAGTCAAAATTTTTAAGCGTTCTAAAAAAAAACAATAATACGCTTGCCTTAGCATCGAAGCAATTATTTTTAAATTAACTCAATTTATTAATCAAAATATTTACAGCATTTTAGCTTCTGCGAACAAAAGTAATCATTAAAAAATCCTTTTCTCGGCCGTTTCTTTATTAGATCATTTATAATATCACTATGCAGCATTTAATTTTTAATCTTAAGGAAGACTACAGTACCGTACATTTCATAAGTGTCAAGCTGTTTTCAATAATCAATGACGGTGAATGTGAGAACGAAGCACTGTTTTTACAAAAAAAGAAATTCCTCTTTAAGCTCAAATAAATCACCAACTTTTTGACTCAACTCAAAGAAATAAGTTCTTAATTTACCTTCGAGCCAGATCCATCATTGTGAACATTGCATTTTTCCTTCTTGATGGAAGAACCAGGAAGCCTTTTCATTCTTTTTGCTGTATCAGGTAAACTTGGCGATGATTTATGTTTTGCTCACTGAATCGTTATTACTGCCTTTTGGCCATTTACTAATAATGCGTTAAGGATCTATTGATCTATTAGGCAGTGTCTAGAATTGGAGAATTTCAATATTTCCAGGCAAAATAATATTGAAAGAGAAACTGATTTGCGTTGGAAACGTCAGTATTTGACGGATAGAAACAAATAAATGAAATATATCAATAACTGATTTCAATTTAATCATTTAATTTTTCTTTAAACAACTTGAACTTCAGTTTTCTTGCTTCCATTTGAAATTGAAAAAAATTAGTTACAAATTAATAACTTTTAACATCATTTGTGTTCAAAAAAGTTGTATTGGTTTGTTTGAGAGAAGTATTTTTTGTTGTTTAACTATAGGCGAATTATAAGACTCAGTTTTTTTATTTGTCGATGAAAGAGTCAACCTTTTAATTCTTTTTGCCGTATTATGTTAACTTGTGCTGATTTATATTTTGCTCACTAAATCATCCTTATTACTAACTTTTGACTGTTTACTTTATAACCTATTAAAACCCTATTATTCTAAAAGGTGGAGTCTAATGCTGAAGAATTTCAATAATTTCAGTCAAAATTCTATTGGATATGTTGTAATAGTCTATTGGATTGTCTATTGGAATGTCTATTTGATATGTTGTAAACTGAAAGAGTTTCAATAAATAAATAAAATTAGCTTATAATTTTTTAGTTACTTGAACTAATAAATTAAAAATAATCAATTAAAATTAATCGATTTAAAAATTTTTAGTTATTTGAATTAATTCAAATAAATAAGTATCCTTAATAAATAACTAATAAATAAGTACAACCCGAAAAAGGTACTGAAATAACTGAAACATTTTAGTGGTGCTTTGAATTTCTTGGTCACGATGCAAGTATCGGAAAAAAATACCATTTCTGTATTCACAAACCATCGGAAGAAAGGTTATGACCAAACCGTAATACTTAAGAAATAGTTTTACAAATGACGCAAGATGCGAGAGAGCTTAAGCTTGTTGTTTAATTTTGAGTATAACAGAAGCAAACGTTTAGAGATGAGGTGGCTCAAGAGCTAGAGCTTTCGCCTACCAATGAGGTAACAGAGGTTCGAATCTTAGCTATGTCTGTTTGATACTTCCGGCTCACATCGATCACAGTGCTGACATAAAATATCTTCAGTGCTAGAAAAATCATTGGTTAGAATTCCATTGCCGTAGGGGAGTTCTTTTTCTTAAAAAAAGTTTAAAAACTAAGAAGTTTAATACTTATTACACACTGTCGAAATTATCTCGGCTACATTATACATATGAGATGCTTTAGAAAAATATTCTAAATAAAATTACCCTAAATTTAAACGGAATACATTTACATTACTGCAAAATATTCTAATTAAAACTACACTACTATTTAGATAAAAACAAGATTTCTATTCTTAAATTCGTCAGTATCGTGCAATTGATTGCGAATGACTGTAATTTCGTAATGAAATTAATGTAATGTAAAAAAGGCACATTAATTATTAGCTAAGACTTAGAGACTAAGGCACATTAATTATTAGCCTAAAACTATTTTTCTCTCCATAAAATTGAAATCTGCAGGAAAACGGAAAGGGCTTTTTTTTTCTCGTAAACGTAGTTTTTCTAACCGACCCAATTTTGAGTTTACTACTACCAATGTTCAACTCCGCAGTCTTGTCATTTTGAACCCAATCCATAAGACAAAGGAACTCCTAGATCAAGGATAAGGAGAAAATAGCTTGCGTGAAGGACTTTTTTGATGGTGCTAACCGGCATTTAAGTTACAAGTAAAGGAAAACCACGAAAACCTCCCACGATTAGCCTGATAGCAAGAGAGGTGGGGGGGGTCATGATCAGTCAACCATTGAGCATATTTTACGCCAGCATTGTCCTCGGTGTGAGACTAGTGCGAAATTCGTATCATCAGCTATCGCTGGGATCCCGTTTCACTTCTTTGAGAGGCGAGAGCTCTATCTCCTGGGACACCATGAATCTAAAGTGATTTTGGTAAAATAAAACCTTCCAAATTAAAATTCCAAAAATCCCGTACCTTGATTGAATTTATTGGAATTCAGCAATTCTCTTTTCCCCCCACAGTTGTTCTTTCATTGTTTACTTACTTGACTAAGTATCAGATCTTGGGCTTTCGCTTTCAGTTCAAATACCGGATAATCCCATTCATTTATTCTACAGAGGAGGGGATCAGAACTTAACGTATCAGGATCAAAATGATGGCCGTTTACTACGAATCCTGGTAGGGTATCCTGCAAAATAATAAAATGTTTTATTTTAAGCAACAGTTTAATAACATAAATGATATCTATTTTTTAAAGATATAAAACATGCGTGTAAAAGTTCCACAAGTGAATTTTCTAATGAAGTTTTATTTTGATTGTTGATTTATTTTGATTGTTATTTATTTTGATTATTTGGAATTTTCTTGAAAGTAATTTTTCTACCCAATTATTTTTTTAAAATTAAAATGTCTACACAGTAGGCAATCTACAATCCGAATTCTGAATTATGATCAGTTTGTTACTAATATGACTGATAAACGATTTACTATTTATAAAACATTTATAGTATTGTTATAGTTTTAATTAACTTGTATTTTGTTGTACACTGTAAGCATTTTGGCTCAAATTATACTATAAAGTACCGGAACTTTGAGTGCTCTATCCGTACAATCCATTTTATATTAATCGTTTTTACTGTAAAATCGATTTTTACCGTAAAATATTACAACGTAACTTTTACAGTAATATTTTAATTAGAATGATTCAGCAATTTTACGATAATTATTATTGTAAAATTAATGGTATATCAGATTTTTTTGTTCCTAACATGTTCTGGTAAAAATACTTTTTGCGGTAAAAAGTACCTATTTCCTAAGTAATTTTTTACAGTGTATTTGTATTTTGCTGTAACTTGCTCCGGGTGTTCCGAAAAAACTGAAAATCACTTAAAGAACCAAAAAAATAAAATAAAAAAGCCTGGTTTATTGCTTCAGTAAAAAAAAAGAAGATAATATTCTCCCTCAATTTCAAAATTACTAACAAGGTTAGTTAACTTCTTACTGAGAAAAATAAAATACAATATTTTAAAATGTGAATTCATTTATAGCAACAACATGACGCAGTCTGAACACAAAATTTAACTGACGTCCATCAAACACGTTAGTAAGAATCTTTTGACATGAAACAGATAATAATCTTTTCAAGTTTTCACATAGCAGTGCTAACTATTAACGGACTAAGTAGCTGATCTTAAATTTTGGTGAAAGGCAAAATTGTTCGTTTTCCTCAACAAAACGCAGTAAACCTTAAATTTCAATCTTCTTCTGTTTTCCTTTAATAGATTTTTTAAATCGACGATTATTTTTGAGAACCCGATAATTGATAAAAGTCACTAAATTTTTGATTTGTGTTTTATTTAAAAATTTTCGGATTTTGTAAGTGATTCGAAATTTTGGTGAAGGACCAAATTTCGATTTTCTTCAACAAAACGCAGTAAAGCTTAAATTTTAATCTTCTTTTGTTTTTCTTTAATTGTTTTTTCAAATCAATGATTATTTTTGAGAACCCGATAATTGATAAACGTTATTAAAACTTTTTTGATTTGCGTTTTTTTAAAGCTCTTTTGAGTTTAATACTTGAAAACCTATTATAAACTAAGCTTTATACTTCCTTTAAAAAAACCATTTATGCATCCTATTAAATAAGCAAGGGGAAATTATTTTTATTTAACATGACCAGTAAAATTAAGTGATAACTACTAAAAAAAGTTTAAATACTAAAGCGATTACTTATAAAAAGTTGGAAGAAAAAATGACATCGCATTCATTTTAGTTTACTTTCAAATATTTTATTTCTTTAAAGCAAAATCAGTATTTTTATCTCCGTGTAAAACCTCTCGAAATTGTAAATTTTAACATTTTTAACTAGTTAATCCTTAGTATACTACTTTTTCCAAAATTTTAAAAACTGTGATTAAATACTGTTTATTAATTTCGAACAATTTATCGAATACATAAGTATATTATTTTAGACATTAAATGTGCTGCCAGTACACAATACAGATTGTAAAATGTATTGTGATGCACTTTATACGTATTTACAGACAACGTATGTACAAAAATTTACGTTCTTCTTTACCTAATACATTGGTTGGTTAATGCATATGTGCATAAATTTTAGTTATATATATATAAATACATATACTTATATTATAAATATAACATACATGTACGTATGTATATATCTTATATTTATGTACATATGTATATACAAACAACGTGGAAATGTGCGTGGATGCACAATGAATAAATATATTTTATGTACAGCAAGCAAAAAAGAAAACGGACCACCTTGAATAACTTTTAATCTAATGATCGGATCTTTACGTTCCAGGACTCAATCTTAATGGCTCGAGAGGGTAACATCTATGCTAATAGTATGCTAGTTAATTAGTACAGACGATATTTTAAGTCACAAAATTAGACACAAAAACATACTTTTTCTGAGTAAACATAACGCATTTTCAAAGCATCCGGATTTCAACGGATTTCTCAACGCAAAAAAAAAGACTTTTACTAGACTTTTATTATTTTTTAATATTTTATCTAATAATGGTTGAAAAAATGCAGAATTGCAATGTAAATAAATTTTTGTATCTTTTTAAAGAATATAATTTTATAAAATTTAAGCAAAATCTGTCGAATAGTTCCTGAGAAATCAAATTTTTAATATCTGAATTTTGTAAAATTTAATTTCTCAGGAACTATTCAACTGATTTTGCACAAATTTTGCATTCTACCAAGCAAAGTTATACTCTTTAAAAGTATGCAAAAAATTTTTCCTTACAATTAAAACTTTTTCGACCATTATTAAACAAGTAACAAAAAATATTAAATAAAAGTTATTTTTTCCATGAAACCTATAAACGAATTTTATAAGTCTCTGCAAGATAAGTCTCTGCTCCTGACCAAACTACGGGGACCATATTTCCCAGATTGCGATTTTAGGGTTCAGAAATCCGAATCAACCAATCAAAAGGCATGTTTATACAGAGAAGGTATGTTTTTCTGCCTGATTCAGTAAATTAAAATATCGTCTGCATTTATTAATTAGCATATTTGAGATCACCCTCTCAAATCACTATGATTGAGTCCTAGAACGGGAAGATCTGATCATTAGATTAAAAGTTATTCAGGGTGGTCCGTTTTTTTCTGATGCACTGTATATACTTGTGTATGTGCAATGCATGCGTTTGTTCATGTATTCATATATCTGTACATTATGCTTGTTTTTTTTTGTACGAGCAATACATAATATAATATGTATGTCACATGCATGTATGTATAAAGTTTTTCAGTCTTATTCATGCATATACAAAGTATGTAAGTCCTGTGCATGTATGTGAAGTTTATTTATGTCCATGCATGTATATACAATATATATGTATACATGTGTGTATGGCTGCAGAGCTGCCGGCGTCCATGTCCATGTATGTACAACACATGTAAGTCCCATGCATGCGTTCAATAAATTCACGTACAATATGTGTATTCCTCGTGAATTGCTGCATTAAATACTCTTAACTTAATATTGTACTATTTATCGAACACATAAGAATATTTTGTTCTTAAGAAGTTGAATGTAATGGCATGTTCTAAAACATATTTCTTTGAGAAAAATGTTCGTCTTCTAAATATGTTATTAACTTTTGGTTGCTGTGTTTACGTAAAAATTAATTTAAAACGGAGGAACGCGTGATAAAAATTGATAAAAAAAAATCAATATTAGCTACGATGTACATTTAGAAAAAATATCACGTTTCACAAAACGTCATTTTAATAAAAGGAAGCTTTAAACAACTTTTTTCGTGATAGGGATTTTATTTTCTGTCCTTTATATAAACGCGAAGGAATTATTCAGAAGGTTGTAGAGAATTTTTATATCATTTTTGTTCTTAGAGTCTATTGGATAAAACGAACATTGATAAAAGTTAAACTATATTTTTAGAACGTTTTTATTTATTTCAAGAAAGCTTAGCTAAATGATTATTACAAACATATATACTACTTTTTAATAAAAAACTACATTATGTATAATCTTATATTATGTATGTACAACTTATATATTATGTATAACTTACGTTATGTATAATCCTAAGTTATATAAATTTAGCAGAAATTTATAAGATATTATTGCATTTATAAATAATTATTCGTATTACGTAATTCGCTAATACAATAGCATAGCTACAATTAAACAAAATGTCTTTTTGAATTTTGAGAGTTTTTGTAGAATATTTTACAGGTAATTGTAGGAATTTGATTTCCATATAATTTAAAATCATTATTGCCTTTTAAATACTTTTAAACTGTATTTTTTTTTGCTTAAATTTGATTAAATAATTCATAGTAAGTACAAAATTTCTTTTTTATAGCAGAAGCCGAACTTAATTCCAACTTCATGAAAGTTAATTATTTGACAACTTGTATGCGAAATGTTGCAAGTCGTATAAATTGCTGACATAAAAGACTGAATATTTGCCTGATGTTTTAAAAGTTATTGAGTTAAAAATGCGAAATTGAAATAAATGATATAAGTTTAACACCGAAAAATATTTCTAAATCTCAACTGATACGCTTCAAACAAAATATTCGAAACTAAAAATGCCTATTCACTGTTATAATTTTCATTCCAAAATTACGGTAAAATAACCGACAGCAGTCTGTCCATCCAATCAATCGTAAAGTTTACTGCAAAACATTCTTTATCTTTAGGGTTTTGAAACCATTTACAATAAGTATGTATTCGTTGTTTTTTAACCATACAGCCAGCATGGTTTCAAAACCGTAAAGTAAGAAATTTAACTGCACATTGAAGTTAGGCTTAAACTGAAGCTAGGCTTAACTGCGCATTAAAGTCTAGGAATTAGGTTGCGGTTGAGTTGTATTTTATCAAATGAACCGTAGAATGTGGTTTAATTAGTTTATCTGGTTGTTTTGCCTATCGTAAGAGATGGAGTATACTGGACTTTTTTATGTTTTTTTCGGGTGCTGCCATCTATGCGTGAGTGAGAGAATCATATTTCAATAGTAAAGGACTAAAAACTGGTGAGCCTAGCAGGCTGGAAACTCTTAACGTGTTGGAGTGATTGGAGGAAATATTGTCATGTCAACAATGGGACTTGAACCTCTTAGTTCTGTCGGTCATGAGATTTACACACTAGCCTTCTCGGTTATAACATGCACCTA